GGAAAAATAAATGGCATCCGTGGGTTCAACACTACTTGTAGTTTTGACATCATCCTCTCGTATCCTTCTTACTTCATTCTTAAAAAAGAAAAAAAAGAAAAAGAAAAATTCTCGTACTCGTGATGTTGAAGTGCCATGTCATAAAATTGGAAACTGGCTTGGAGGCTTGTGAAAAAATCGAATGGAAAATGTTGGAAAGTTAGTTATTTGAGGTTGGTAGTTGTTATATCGAACGACCTTTGGATATGAGTTGGAGACCATGCTGCGCCCGGGGTCTTGTGAAGCTCCGCATTGTTCGAAAGCTCATTAATAGCATTGCACACAGCTGCGGCGGCGGCTCCTTGCCGGGCTCTGACCCGCCATTCTTCACCCGCGGAACATAACAGGGGCTTCCTCGTGAGCGGGCGCCCAGCGCGTGGTTCCTGGTCACTTCGTCCCATTGTTGACAAATAACACCACAAATCCGTCGAATTCGACTCATTGGCGGATCCAGGAATTTGGCAACGTTGCTTTTCCCTCATTTAAACATATGGAAATGTATCGATTCTAAGAGGGGCCAGATGCTCCGACGGGAGTCGATTATTCATCACAGGTTCAAATGGAAGGAAGACCGCGATGCCAAATGGAGATGTTGCATGTGTGAGGAATTTGCGATTTGACTGTTGATTCTTGTGTAAAAGTTCGCGAGAAACACGATGGTGCCACTAGGTTTCTCTGAAATTAACTCCCAAGCTCAAAAAAAGCCCTCAAGTTAAGGCCAAAACGGAGGAGATATCCCACGCTATCCCGAGAGTCCACCTCTACATCAAAACAAACTCTCCATGCAAAGATAGGGAGCAAATACATTGACAGGGCTGCCACTTTATTTGGGGACTCCAAAACTGAAAACATGGCATCTTTGCTAATGTATTTGCTCCCTATCTTTGCATGGAGAGTTTGTTTTGATGTAGAAGTGGACTCTTGGGATAGCGTGGGATATCTCCTCCGTTTTGGCCATCACTTGAGAGCTTTTTTTGAGCTTGGGAGTCGATTTCAGATAAAACCAGTGGCACCATCGTGTTTCTCGCGAACTTTTACAAAAGATTCAACAGTCAAATTGCAAATTCCTCACACATGCAAGATCTCCATTGCTGAATCCGCCTCTGATAACTCAGGGTTCAAAAATATTACTTTCTAACTTCTGAGCGGGAAACCAATAGGAGTAATGGTGATTCTTGAAAGTTGGTAACACTGTTTTTCCTCCATTTAAATGTATAAAAAACAATCAAATCTCAAAACTCTACTAAATCGACAAATTTAATGGAGTTAAATGGAGAAACCCCCGTGTTGTCAACTTGCACTGATCAGGAGCCAAAGGTGGCACAAAGCAACGAAAATACCGAAAAAATGATTCATTTTAATATGCTATGAAATTGCATTGTTTTTACAGCATGTCAATAAATGCCTGCCGCCCTTCTTAAACTATCGACAGAATGAGTTCCACGTGTGAGAAAAGCAGGCAATTGGCGATTAATGCAAACAAACTGGAAACTTATTTCAATTTTATGGCAATAAATGTCAGTGTGAGGAGCCCCTTCAATTAGTGAATAGACAACATACACGACACTCCGGCACAATGGGGACAATTTTACCCTGTAGTGGCAATCGATTTAATCTGTGCTACTTGGGAGTGCAGCGAAAGACATATAGGCACCGCCGCGCCGATATGTCAACATTTCTGAAAATTGTGGATAACATCCTCCATTTTAAATGATGGAGGAGAGAAGAGTGAGGGAGTATTTAGACCTCTGTTATCAGATACTTAATACTTTAATCGATACCGTTTGAAAGGCAAACTGTAGAGGTGATTCATTAGTCATTACTACCCTCGATCCCTCCGTTCTAATCGAAATCGATATCCATGAGATCACGTCTCACGGAGTGTCCTTTGGTACACGGTTATCGTTACTTACTTGAAAGCTTTCAGCTGTAACCTTTAATTGATAAGCAGTGGATGTCGATCCACTGACCTGGGCAAAAAGTTGAAAGCTTCGTGAGTGTGACTCTATATGGGCTTGATGCGTCGTCGTGCAGGCGAAAGAGTATAAGTGCATTGAAACTTAGCAAAATCTCCTCTTGCAAGTTGAGTTTTCACGAGAAAACTGTTGAGAATTTCCTTCTGAAAATTTTACCGCGTTTTTTCTGATTTCACACGAAAATTTCAATTCCGTCTCATTATCCTTGATAGTAAAGCAATTGCCGAAAAGAGATAGCGTAGTGACGGGTTGGAGAGTGGGAGGGGATAAGGATTGATCATAGTCCTCTGAAGGACAATATTAGATTTCAGACTTTCCATAAATAATCAAATTATGTCCCGAAGTTGCGACCGTACCACATGGTAACCATATTTTACCCCATCTGATTGGCTAATAGGATGCTGTCGGTGGATCTGATTGGCTGAATCCGATATACCACAAACCTTATGGTGTTCCATGACCGTGATGTAGTGTTGCGACAGGGTGCTGGAAGTTCAGTCGAGGCTCGCGCCACGGAATAAAATAAGTGCGCCTCTGCAGCCCTCGATCTCCGACTTGGCTGGCGCACGGTGGCCTGATTCGGTTACACACAGACATCTTTTTGGTCTAGAATTATTTGTAATTCTAATCGAATGGGAGCGAATTTTCTGCACGAGTGCCATAATTTTATTTAAATGTAACCAATGCGAAAAACGTTAAAAAACGAACTTGATACGACTTCCACGAATTTTATAGCTGACGCGTCTTGGACAGACGGCTCATTATCGGTGCGACCGTTGACGTTATAAGTCGCGATAAATTGCGATTACAAATATAATTGTTACAGAATCAGGGTGTTGTGTATGATGCCTCTCTACTGATTGAAGGGGCACTTCTTATTGAAATAAATTGCAATTTTTCATTGCATTACTAAATACATTTTGCAATTAAGAACTACAATATCTGGCTCAATTTAGGAACAATAGTTTCCCTATGCGTGATGCGTATGCGTGTTTTTACGGATAAGCCAGATATTGCGTAATATATATTTGCAAAATTTCGTACCATTGTAAATACACGAAAAAAAATTATATTGCTGATTTAACAATTGTTCGTTCAAAAAAAGTGTCCGAAATTTTTAAATGTGGATTTTACAATAAAGAAATGCTAATTCAACCACCTCCGTGTTTAAATTAGCTGTCCACTGTTGTAAAATGTACTTTTGAAACATATGTCGGATTTATATTTTAACAATTTAATTGTTAAATCAGCAATCCATTTTTTCCCGAGTTTATTGTTTTTAGACTGAGCCAGAAATGACAGTTCCTAATTGGAAAATAGAGTCGGACTGTTGACCAGTGTGTGGCAGTGGTGGTTGTTTTGGCGAATGCGCGGCGCCGAGGCGTGGGCGTTCTGCACTCGTGTTAATCTCCCATTAAGTTTTATCCGCGACTGCGACCGCGGCCAGTCGGGCTGCCCGCTGCTACGGATCGCCGCTGCTCACCGTGACGCAACGCCGTAACCGTAATAACTCGGACGTTGCTTCGTTGATCGTTGCACACCATCCTTTCTCATCAGCCGCCCGGCCCCACCGCCGATCCTAGCCGAGAATATCTAAATCCTTCACAAGCAAACTCTACGAGGATCCTGGCAAAAATCCCGCTTCAATCGCCGTTTCCCTCACGAAAGAACATAGCTGCATTAAATGTTGCCAAAATTTCCCTAAAAAATTGCATTTTTACCACGAGAATCTTGGGAATATCTAACTGAAAATTACAATGGGTTTTCTCTGAGCTCAGGCAAAAATCAGACAAAATTTTGGGGGAAAATTGTATATGTATATTCTTGTGAAAAATTGCAATGTTTGAGTCAATTTTGCAACCTTGGAATGGAGTTACGTTTCTTCGTCCGGGAGACGACTATATGCGAGCTCTTAACGTATCCAAAACATTTAATTTGTTCATAAGTTAAAATAATAGGCATCATTGTCAAAACGGTCATATTCTTCCATCTTAGGATCATTAAATGACAATTTTCCTCCTCCTATCATGGCCGGATTTACCTACTTTCCGCCCATGGGCCGCCTGTATTTTGCCGCCCTCTTCTCATTCATTTTGAAACGTCAATAAAAACCATCAAGCGAACGTGCCGGAGGAAGAAGGGTGCATAAGACGCGTTCACCCGTGTTGGACACATTTTTTGCGTAAGCCCTGTCAACACTATACTAGCAAAAGTTCACGGAACTTCGCGCGAAAGTTCAGTTCCGTAAACCTATCTCTGTGGGGACAAGGCCTTTCATTTGTAAGAAATGAACTAAAAAATTAAGAAAGAACAAATATAAATGTGGTTTAGTAATTTTAACTTCCGCCGCCGTGCCGCGCTGATCACACTGTGTTTGGCGCAATGCGTGAAGTATTCATGTAGTCTTGTAGGCACTGTGCGTTTCAAGTCGCGCCGACCGCTGTTGACCGTATACTCTGTTTGAAGCAATGCGTGAAGTATTCATGCAATCTCGTAGGCGCTAATATGTGTTACATGCCGACCGCCGCGTCGAGGGCTTTTCCTTTTCATCTCAAGTCCTCGTCATCATTTTTCTTTGCGCCGCGCCGCTCCAGGCCAAATTACGTGTTTGGTTTCTCTCTTAACTCAACTAATTAAAGGTGCGCAGTCTTTTGGATCACCGAAATACGACAAAATTAGAAATTAATGAACTCTCAGGACATGAGAGATTTTGTCACCTTTTCTTGTTTGTAAATTTTTTCTGAATCCGATTTTTGTGTACCTGCATTTAAAAAAATTGCAAAATTTGCCGCCCCCTAATTTTGCCGCCATGGGCCGCGGCCCACGTGGCCACCCCCTTAATCCGGCCCTGCTTTCCCTGTCGCTCGTCTGAAAAAGAGCGTACCTATTCCTATTTCCAGGGATGAATTGGGAACTGAAAAATGATGAGAGGTTAGAAGTTCAATGGATGACTAATAAGCATGGTGTGTTGTTTTGTTGAAACAGATGCAGTTGACAACAGGTGTTACCTGGAGAGTGGAGGATCAGCCGAAAGCTTTTTCGTTAGTGAAGATCTACCGGTTGGAGCTACGATCGGTACGTATTTTATTTACTCACTCAATATTTTTTAAGTGTAATTTTTGTTTGCTTTTTAATTTTTCAAGACTACTAATGAAAAAATCTCACCCAAACTTACTGATGCATGAGATCCGCATGTCCTCTGGGCTGCACTTAGCAAAGAGAATCCAAGTTTTTTCAAGGAATTTGTTTAAGTTTGTCAATCTGTGGGAGTTCTTGATTCTACCTTGGACCGGAGCGTTTGGATTAGATCGACATGAATCAATTGAAAAAGAGAAAGGTGAATTGATCTCCTGATCGCCACCGATTCGATCGATGTAAATGAAAATCGTTCGAAAAACAAAGAAGTGAACCTATGGAAAGTGACTCAATGGACGCATTTAATTCAGAAATCTCACTGCCAATTCGCAGGACATGAATCGATCGAAAGATAAACTTGTGAACCGATCGACACCGATTCGATCGATTAAAAGCTTGCCAATTGATTCACCGATCCGTCGATCGATTCCACGTCCGTCGATCGATTCAGAGATTTTTCGATCAAATTACAGACTTGTCGATCGATTCACAGCTTTGCCGATCCATTAACAAATTTTTCGATCGATTCACGGCTTCGTCAATCGATTCGCGGCTATCGATCATATCACACCCATCCATTCACGTTTTTATTTTTCGATCGATTCGTGTACGTCGATCGAATGTACACCCTCCATTAGGACCCTCGTATACCCCGCCTCGCAGAAAGTTCTATCTTCTCACAGCAGCTTGACGCGCATGGGTGTGGGTAGAAGATTCTGCGAATTTCTATTGTGCAGTGCGAGGGTGTCTCGACGCTGAACTTTCTCCGTGCCCTCGGTCTCGAGTCGGCAAAAGCTCCACGCTCCACGCTCATTAGTGGCAACATTGCCTTTTAATTAGGCGAGTGGCGAGTCTGCGAAGCCGACTTTTCATCTTAACGCCACTCTGTGAAAAAAACGGAGACGGCTTCGGATTTGAGGTCAAATAATTTCTAGGATATTAACACGACATTAGCGCGGCTATTGAAGCACACATTTTAGAGAGTGAATGAAATCAGCAAAACGTATTCATTCAGATTTGATGAGGGCTCCGTCGTCGTCGCGGCGCAGCGCTCGCAGGTGCGAATGAAACCGATGAATGGGAATCGTATTAATGAGCTGTATATGCTTGCATGTAACCTACGAATCTTGTACAGGGTGCTTAGGCGCGCATGATGCCGATGGGTCACGAGATAAGGTGCGAATTTAACCATTCTCATGTACGATTCTCCTGTTTCAAATTTCACGTAGAACAAAATTCTTGCAACGAACTTACTGAAATAAACTCCTAACGATATTGACGTTTTCATTTAGCATGAGTTACAAAAAAATTTGAATTTCCCGCTCACATGAAAAACGTGAGCGTACTTGAATAAAATCGCGCACTTCAACGGATTTGGAGGCTTCTCACTAAGCATTGTTCATGCGGGTATATATGGCTTTTCATGTATTTTAATTTTCCACGTATACCCGGAGACTTGAACGCACAGTAGAAAAGACAATTAAATACGCTTTATCGTTGGATTCATATTTTGAGCCTTGATTTCTTTACTTTTTAAATTCCTTTACAAATGCATCGAAAACTGCATATTTGCAACGATTTGCGCAACTAATATAAATGAAATTAAGTGCCATTTATAATTTAGGATTGGTTACAACATTTGAATTTCCTGCTCACATTAAAAAAATCATAGTCTACTTAAATCAAATTGCTCGCTTGAGCGGTTTTCGGAATTACATATTTTGCTGAAATTTAGAAATATTTGAAAATATTTCACAAGGGTTTTCAAGATGTTATTTTCATTGAAAATTGAAACGCTGGATGCAGCAAGGGGATTTCTATTTTGCGGTGCCTCAAAATCTCCGTTAACGTTTCCTCCGTTAAGATTAAAACACATGTAATTCGTTGTGATTTTTACTGAATATTCTTTATGATTTTGCAATACTGAAAACGTAAAATCTCAGAAAATTCACCCTATAGTTTCCTCTCTGAAGTATCAATCAGCATTTCAGGTTCCAATACGCCGCAACTGACGAACGCCCTTTCTGCACACCCAACGCCTCAATTGCAACCCTGCATCCAATTTAATATTTCTACATCGAGAAAAAAGTGATGCTGATTTAACATTCTGGTTGTAAAAAAGTATAAGCGAGAACTTACAAAACGCTACATGAACCGCCGCAGCAGTTAGATTTACATCTTGGCATTGCTAGAGTAACTGCTTAAGCGGTTAAATCAGCGTTTCGTGAATTCTCGCACACTTTCATACATCCAGATCATTAAATCAGCATCCCTTTTTTTCGGTGTATGTACTGTACAGCAGTGTCGCTTTGAGGGAATTACGGGGCACCCTGTACGCGGCGACGGTGCACACATGAAATTCCTCTCGTGTCTGTTTAGACACCCGAGTGACGTCACGTCTCACGCACGGTGTTTGTATTTGCCGAGCACTCTTTCACCGGGCTCGTTGGAGGCGTGTGAGGGTGTGTATGTGTGGGTGCGATTATGATGTTATTGAGTATAATGTGTATAACGTGTATGTTTGTTGTGTTTGTGTCAGGCGTGATCCGGATCGTGGGAGAGCTCGGCGAGCGAGGGAACATCGAGCTCCGGCTCCAGGAGTCCGACAGCCCCGTACGGATCACCCCCAACTCGAAGAACTTGACGCTCACCAGGAAGTTGGACAAAGAGGTTAGTCAAAATTACACCTTGTCCGCCAATAGACACGAAAAACGAGATGTTTCAATCCATAAGGGCGCACCAGGAGATGATTTGATTGTATGAATACTGTGGTGGATACAAGGGGAGGGGTGGCATGGTGACATGCCCCCCCCCCCTCTCGGACCAAAAAATGGGGGGAAGAAAGAAAAAAGGGAGGAAAAAGAAAAAAAGGGACTTAAGGGAGAAAAAAAGGGAGAAAAAAAAGTGCTCCTAAAATAATACTGAAATGTTTCAGAACAGAACTATATGTACAACCAAAGTTTACTAAACGGAGGTACTTACAACGGTTAGTTGGGACTAATGCACTGAAACAAAAACACATTGGATCTAGAGTCCAGACTCTTAAAACATCGACAAGAAAAAGTACTCTTGATTCAATCAGAATCTAGCTTAAATCAAGAACCAAGCTTCTTAATTTAAGCGGATTTCGTTTGGATTCAAGCAAAAATCCGATTGAATCAAGAGTATTTTTTCTTGTCAATGTTTTCAAGAGTCTGGACTCTAGATCCAATGTGTGTTGTTTTTTTTTCCAGTGGTCAGTTAATCGTTCAATTGAGGCTTGGTGGTTTACCTCGTTGAACTTAAGAGAGGTTTAATAACAGGAATTTGACAAATTGAATCATAAAAAGGGAGAAAAAACTCTTTGAAATGTGAACTAAGGTTGATATTTTTCTCAGTTTGCCTTCATTTAAAAGAGTAGGCAAAGAGGGATACGCAGATTGGTATCAGTCATACCTACACTGTGTATCATGGTTTTAGGTGTGTCGTTATAAAGAGATTAAGGGAGGCATATCAGTTCAGGAAATTTCGACTGAGACATTATCAGTTCGATTGTGACAAGGGAGAGTAACTTGTCTCTTACAACGCATGCGCGCGTTGTAAGCATGATGTTGAAATATTGTACATCAGAGAGTATTTTGTTTGAATTTCAATGGATATTAACTCCTTTTCACAACATACCCCGCCCCGTCTCGTGAAAGTTGAAAAGATTTCATCTGACCCAAAACAAAACGTTTTGTTGCCGAAAAAAAATTATTAATAATTTATTAATAATTAAAAATAATAATTTATTAATAATTAAAAAAAATTAACTGTTGCGATCTGATGCCATGAAAAACTTACATTGGATATGATTGAAATATGATGTCTTGATCTAGATCGGAGGACTATTTCCATCGTAAAAATCATGCGTTTGATGTCAAATTTTGTTTTTTCAGGGAATCGAAGGACCTTCGTCGGTTTATGTAAATATTATCTGTGATAGAAAACGAACTTCGGATCCCGTAAGTTTCTATGTTTTATACTTACCTATCTTCTTTCTATGTATAGAGATGCCTATGTGCGAAAATACATGTGGATGAAAGGAAGAGGGAGGGCTAAAATCGTTACTTTCTGACCCAGTCTTCTTACCTTTACTTCTTTATTTTTTTAAGTCAAAAATCACTTAGGTCTCTTACTCGCGAGGCTCATGCCTAACAGCAGCTACATATTTAAGCTTTATTTTTCCTCGCTTTCCCCTCTTCTCCTATCTCCACGGGGTAGGGGGTGTTAATAAGTGTAGGTAGTCCTAATGATGGTTTTATCTGTATTTTAACAGCTGAAAACAGGGTACTCGATTCACTCTTTTTTTTCCGAAAAAAAAAAACTCGAAAGGGCAATTTCGCTCAAAAATGCTGATTAAACATAACTACCTAGACAACTTTTGTGGTGTATTCTGAAAATTAGGGTAACCAAAGTTTAACCCTCAATTTTAAGTGACCAAATTATGTTCGAGTCTCACACTCGCACTGGAAAAAAACCACATTGGATCTAGAGTCCAGACTCTTAAAAACATCGACAAGAAAAATTACTCTTGATTCAATCAGATTTAAGCTTAAATCAAGAACCAAGCCTCTTAATTTGAGCGGATTTCCTTTTGATTTAAGCTTAAATCTGATTGAATCAAGAGTCCTTTTTCTTGTCGATGTTTTCAAGAGTCTGGACTCTAGATCCAATGTGTTTTTTTTCCAGTGCGTGATTTTAGGGACCTGAAAAGTAAGAGACTCTCAAAAATCCATTCCCGCATGCGTTTACGTTCTCCCTGTCGAATAATTCCCAAGTTAAAACTCAACTCGACAACAGGACGTGATTAAGAAGAAAACAGCAGTGTGTCACCTGTCATCGGACGAAGATGCAAGACGGACCGCAGTACGTCACAGTGGCGTGACGTTGCGTCTGTCGGTGCGTTCAGTGAGAACAGGATTATTACC